GCTATGGAAAATCCCTTGGAACTGGTCAAAGTTAAGAACAGACTGATCTACAGTATTAACTCTAAAAGGGCTTTCTTAAATATGTCCTTAAATATCTCGCTTACCTAGAAAGTCTTATTAGGGTTGATATAAGTCAGTTCTGGTCAGAACGAACGAACGAACGAACGAACGAACACACACACACACACACACACACACACACACACACCTCTCTCTATCTCTCTAGGGGTGGGACACATACTTCCCTAACTCAGAAGAAAGAGAAAGTAAGAGAAGAATTAGCCATACATAAAAAGAGTGGCTTAGCTTGGCTGCGTGATGGGGACTGTAGAGTTCAACAGAGCTTTTCGTTGTATTTATTTAAAATATTTTTCTCCCATCTTCCCCTTCAGAAAAGGACCCAAAGCAGCTTGCCTCATTAGAAAGAGGATATTTAAAACTAACCACAAAGAGAATACCAATACTTTGAAAAAAGAGAATCAGACAGATACAATGTTGAAAAACGTAAGCAACACCAAACGAATTCAAAGCAAAAGCTAGCCGCCCACAGTGGTCAATTGACCAGATGGGCGGGATATAAATACAATAAATAAATGAAATAAATAAATAAATGAAACCATCCAATTTTTCAAAATCCAGGCAAGAAGACCTTGCTTTCAACTGATGGAAAGCAAGATCTCTCTCCTCCTAGAGATATAATTAATAAGGAGGGTGTGCGATCAGCCCCCTTCAGCAGTGTCTCCTTATGAGATTTCCTCCCCCCCCTCCTTGCATTTAGTGCCCAAGTCTCCTCCGGGTCTCACCTTAGGGGGAAGGCTGGGCACTTGGGCAGCTCCCCCGCGCCCACCTCCGTCGCGGGACTCGAGGAAGTGACTGGCGTTTCAAAGAAGCGGAAGGGCCCAGCCAATGGGAAGCCGGGAGGGGCGGGGAGAGGGCGGGGCAACAAAGACACAAAGTTATTAAAGAAACAAAAAAGAGGGGGCGGGAGGAATTGAAGAGGGGATTCCCTCCAAAAAAACCCCTCCCTCTTCCCAACTTCTCCATCCTGGCTGACGTGATGGGGCGGGACGTGTGAGGGGGCGGGAGGAATTGAAGAGGGGATTTCCCCTCAAAAAATTCCCTCCTCCTTCCCAATTTCTCCATCCTGGCTGACGGGACGTGATCCCCCCCGCGGGCCAGGGCGAAGGAGAGGGTCTCGTGTAAGGAAAGTCGAGCGGGAGAGGTTGCCAACTTTTTCTCCCGGCTCCTGCAGCTATGCCGCTCGGAGCGGTTCAAGCGCTTTCCACTAGGATTCCTTTGGCAGTGATATCCACGGGGGTGGTGGTGGTGGAAGGCCCCGCTTCTGCAGATCAAATGCCTATCCAAGGGAGAAGGCATAGAAGATCATCCTCCTCATCATCATGATGTGCCGTCAAAGCAGTGATGACTGGTGGCGACCCTTTTTTCCAGGATTTTCCTCTCTCTCTCTCTCTCTCTCTCTCTCTCTCTCTCTCTCTGTGTGTGTGTGTGTGTGTGTGTAGAACTGCCTTGGGACAGTGCAGCTTATCCATGGCTACATAGGCTGGCTCTTATGAGGGTATATATCGACACACCACAGAGTGAGAGAGATTGTGTGTAATCAATCAATCAATCAATCAATCAATCAATCTATCTATCTATCTATCTATCTATCTATCTATCTATCTATCTATCTGTCTGTCTGTCTGTCTGTCTGTCTGTCTGTCTGTCTGTCTGTCTGTCTGTCTGTCTATCTATCTATCTATCGTAGACCACCAGCAATGCACTCTTCTGGGGCCTTTACAACACACCCAGCTGTGGTGAGGTTATAAATGAAAACAATAGGCAATAAAACATTAAAACACCGCAACCCTCCCAAGAAGCATCGATTCTAGCTAAAAGATGGAAGGCAAGACATGAAATTAAGCAGGGAGGTCATGAAAAGCCTCTCAGAAAAGCCATGTTTTCAGGAGCCTTTTTAATGGAGCTCAGGCGAGGGGGGGGTCACACGGAGCTCCACCGAGAGCTGGTTCTAGTGCAGGGGCCACCGAGAAGAAGGCCCAGCTTCAGGTGGATGATTTTCTAGCCGCTTTCGGAGTGGGCACCTGGAGGAATATGGCTGGGGGAGGGGTTGTCTGGAAGGGATGACCCTGGACAACGACGATTCAAGTACAGTAGAGTATTACTGAGGAGATGCCCGAGTAGCTGGCACTCTTTCAGCTTCACAAGAGATATATTCATTTATATTCGTGGGCAAAAGGCACC